GAAAACATAAAACAAAAATTTGTGCGTGAATTATTGACCTTTCCACAACAATCTTCAACGTTCGGTTGTAAATTTTATTGGATGGTATACCAGGTAAGACATGAGTGCATCTGTTCATGTAATTTTAGAATGTTTAAATGGGATAATACGAGGCCCTTATCGGATAAGGAACCACTAAATATAATAGAATTGGGTTGAAAGTGAAGATGGTTATAATGATATAAGTGATAGTGAAGATACGGTCGCTATGGATATTCAAAATATGCCAGTTTTATTTGAAGATGAGCCAGAACAAACTGAAAACGTTGTTTGCGAAGTAGAAGACGACTATGATTTAGCAACGCAGGAGAACGAAGATGAAATGATAAATTATAAAAACAAATTTAAAAACATCGTATGGAAAAACAAAAACCTAGTGCTAAATGAAGGCATTTTGTTATTCAAAGGTGACTCTTCTCTACCAGCCCACATTCAAGCACTAGAACGCCACACCAGTACTTTCGTTATTTTTTTGATGAAACATTGATTTCAAAAATTGTCAACGAGTCGAATTTATACAGTGTTCAAAAAAATCCTGCAAAACCTTCTATAATCGAGGTTACAGATCTAAAAAAATTCTGGGAATATTGATCTATGTCGGTTATCCATTTACCTAGTGCACGCTATTATTGGTCAACCACCATAGGAATACCCCAAATAAAGGAAACTATGAGTCAGCATAGCTTTAATACAATTCGATCTAATATACATTTTGCAGATAACACAAAAATGAAATCAAAAGATAATCCTGAATGTGATCGTCTTCATAAACTCCGGCCAATTATTAATCACTTGAATGCCAAATTTGAAAGCATCCCCCACGAGGAATACTTATGCGTGGATGAACAGTTGTGTTCTACCAAAGCTCGGCACTACTTGAAGCAGTATCTGCCTATGAAACCACACAAATGGGGATTTAAACTGTTTGTTTTGTGTGGAGTAAGTCGTTTTGCTCATAGATTTGAGATATATACGCAACAAGAAAACTAAACTCGCTTGAGAAGCGAACCGGATTTGGGTGCATCTGAAAACATTGTTGTAAGGCTGTGAAGAAATATTCCACAAAATAAAGGTTATAGGATGATTTTGACAACTATTATTCCTCCATACCTTTAGTGGCGTATTTAGCTACTAAAGGTATCTATTCGTTGGGTACCATAAGAAGAAATCGAATTCCCAATCGTAAATTACCGCTTGAAAGCGTTCTCAAAAAGAAAGAAAGAGGTACTTCTTGAGTGTTTGTTGCCAACGCAAATGACATAGATATTTCTACAGTGGTTTGAAAAGACAATAAACTAGTAACTCTAGTTTCAAATTTTGTGGAAATATTACCATTAGGACAAATTGAACGGTTAGATAAGAAATTGAACAAGAAAATTAATATCCCTTGTCCAAATGTGGTCAAGGAATATAACCATCACATGGGTGGTGTTGACCTCTTAGACAGTTTCATAGGAAAGAACTATTATTAAATAGGATAAATTACGTACGAAGAAATGGTACATACGTATTTTCTACCATCTGCTAGATCTCGCCTTAGTGAATAGCTGGGTTTTGTATCGGAGGCAAATGAAGCAAAAAGGGAAAAAAACCATGACTTTGGTACAATTTAAAATCGAGGTGGCAGATTGCTTGTGTAGAGCACAAGCAGAAAACCAGCGAAAACGCGGAAGACCATGTGCTACTATGCAACAGGATATTGCAAAGAAGAAAAGAGGACCTACATCTTATATACCACCAGTTGATATACGAACCGACAATATTGGACATTGGCCACAATATACAAAGAGCCGAACGAGGATGTCATATACGGTTGTAATATGAACATCGCAACACTCTGGGTCCCTTGGCAACCAAAATCCTTTCTTCACCATAAAATGTATACCTTTCCCATAAGTTCCTGTCTTCCACATCATATTTCAAAAGCATAACTTTCCTTACCATAAACAATTAAGATATAACAGTTTTAAAAAATTTGGTACTAATTAAAAATCAAGTTATTGACAATAATACAAAATATGGTTACTTGTTTATAATTCACAAATTTGAATTTGAATATTAATATATAATTCACGGCTATCTTCACTAACCACACATAACCTCAAAGAAAAAGAAAAAAGACACATGGCGTGTGCTGATACAATAAATGTTGAATTGAATTAACCCTTTCGCGCCGAAGACCGTATATTTCCGCAAAAAAAAAATGACCAACAGCCGAAGATCGTATTAATCCGACTTCATTATATTTTAAGCGACGAATGCCGCACGTCTCCGTTTTATGTATTCAAGGCATCTCTGCGTATGAAGCATGCGTGGGGACAAGTTTTAACGTGTTTGTCTAGTTTCCGTGTGTGCGTAGTGTGGTGTGCACTCGACAGTAACAGTCTATACTGGATGCACGTAATTTTGTTTATTATATCTAGTTTCAACGAACTAGAAAAATGAGTAAAATATCTAAAATGAATAAATAGTTTACGCATGTATTTTTTATCGTCTTGTAAATTTTGTTTGAACATACGGCAAGTACCTAATAATAAATAAATAAACTATTTATTTTGTAGTTTTTCTAGAAAATGGCAGCACATCGAAAAAAAATTTTAACCCAAAAGGAACTTGAAAAAATTGATATTATGGAAGACCGAGAACCAGAAGATGACAACGCAGTAATTAGTAGTGGCGAAAGTGATTCCAATGGGAATATTCAAAGTGACATACTATAGATATTGTTGTAATATTATACAATTTAAAATTTCTTAATGTGATGTACAATCTACTACTCGTTTAAAAATTAGGAGCCAAATTCAAATTTGATTTACCACAAAATTCAACCTTAATGATTAGTCTTCATTAAGATTGAATTTCGTGCTCCTATTTTTAAATAAAGTGACGCGTTGGACGCGATATTTTAATGTTCAAATGGATATATAATAAATGTGATATTGTATAATAGCATTAAATTATTCAATAATAATTGAATATTAAACAGCTTAAATATTATTGTTTTTTATATAAATCTTGTTACGTTTTATTTTCTTTAAACCTTCGATTATCTTTTCTATGTATCTTTTGTTGAATTTTTGGCAGCTGAATTCGAGATTCCTCTTCCTTAATCCTTACTTTTCCTGTTCCCTACGTGATGGCGCGATTACTTGTTTTCATTTTTGTTTTTCCGTATTATATTTTAGAAACGAGTTTTCGGAAACTCATTCTCTTGTACGTTAGCTGTCCTAATGAACACACGGTGTTAGAGATTTTGGTACTTTTGCGACATTTATAAAATTTTTGGGACGATTACCAATCCGTAGTTATCCGATTCATCTTTCACTGGTGAAGTTCATATTTAATTAGATAAATTACGACAACGGATTTAGATTCCGGATTTTCATTTATTTTCACATTACAACTTTATTTTAATTAATTAATATCTTAAAAACTAATTTCGCACAGCCATTCCTGAATCATACAATAAATTGTACATAAATAGTAAAATTGTACATAAAATTGTACATAGATAGCAATATAATAAAGACGTAGATATGATAAATATCAAATATATACCTCAGATATATATATATATATATACATATATATATCAATAATTGGATCCTCCTACCAAGTCGCAAAACCCGTCAATAAATAGAGGTCAGCTCAAAAACATAAAGCGGATGTTATAAAGTGATTTGGAAATAACGAACTGAATGTTGTGCACCGTCAGCTTGGCACACTTTATTAACACCTAAATAAATACGCCGCCGTCTAAAAGCAGTATCAGTTTGGTAATAATATCGCACCGACCTGGCCGAAAAACAACAATGAGGGAAACACAGTCAAAAGAGATCTGCCCTAATCAGCAGCTAATCGAAAATGGAGCTGTTAACGTGAACTTTGTGGTCCAAGAGTCACATCTATCTGTATCAAATGATCTCACCATTATGTTGTATATCCTGTTCGTCATGAGGGTTATTAGCTTCATTATTAAAGTATTCAAGGCTTACACAAGACACATAAAAGGACGCGTGGTAAGAAGAGGAGTATCCAGGGAAACAGTACAAAACAATTACGGAGGGACTTCCTCATTACGTATTATAAAAAACTAAGGCCATACTTCCATTGTCTGATATTTAGCAATTAATTTTTATTATCTTTTAACTTTTTATTATAAACGTTGCTGGTAATATTTTTATCTTATTTTGTAGACTCAACGCACCTACCCACTGGAAAGTGAAAGGGACTGTAGTATCAAAGTGGCCTTTAGGAACTTTGGAAGTGGGTGTCGTTGAAGAATTTAATGGAGTTAATTTTAAGGTTTTAAAAGGGTTAACTTTAAACGTTGTACGTTCTTCTGCATAGATGTGCTATCGTTTTTATTTATTTAAATTCTTGAATAAAACATTTAAGTTTTTTTGTTATTACTTATTACTTAATTTTGACCGATTGATATCGCTTTTCGCTGCTTTGTCAACATCGTACAACAATTATTGTATTGTTTGTCAATTATTGTAGTTCGATCTGTTTATTACCAAAGCGATTGCATTGATTACATCGATTTTATTTCAAAGAAACTGTTAAAACATTATTTAGACAATCGTTTTCTGCGTGTGTGCAGGTAAGTATTCTTCTCGGTAGCTTTCGGCAATAGTCGATTCTATCAGCGTATGGAACCGTTTTGATGGCAGTGAATTGGAAGTGAGGTATGGGGTGTGCCAAACCCCACGTGTCTAATTGAAATAAAAAAATTTATAATAATTTCTATAGTGTTTACGAGATTGTGCTTCATTGTCGAGTTTTCGAAAAAGAATTAGTATTTGAGTAAAAATGGTACTAAGTGGGCAAAAAAAATATTACAACAAGAACGTGAGGACCAGAGCCGAGAATATTATCTCCCAATTACCAGGAGTCAAGCAGTGCGCTAGGGGCAAAAAAATCCAATTGACAGCTTTCTGCTATTCATCGATGAAGAAATGTTAGATGGTATAGTGCAAAGGGCAAATCAACACATTGAGGAAAAATCAAGGGAATGGGAGAAGTCTGTACAGTACCAACCAACAAATAATATAGAATTAAAAGCTGTATTTGGGCTGCTGTATTTAGGAGGCGTTTTTAGAAATAACCATCGTTTGCTAAGACATTTCTGGAAAACTGACGGGACAGACATAGAAGTATTTCGAATAACTATGTCTCAAAGACGGTTCGAATTTTTGCTCACATGCCTGCGATTTGACAATAAAGCAGATCGCGCATGTAGACGTGAAATCGACAAGCTGGCGTCTATACGAAGTATAGTAGAAAAATTTGTTTCCAATTGTCAAAATGCCTATACGCCAGGCCAATTCTTAACTGTGGATGAAAAATTAGAGGCTTTTGTTGGGGGATGTCCGTTTAGACAGTATATGCCCAATATGCCGGCCAAATACGGCATCAAGGTTCATGCTTTGGTGGATGCCAGAACATATTATCCTTTTGCTGTAAATAATACTCCAACGGCTATAGTAGAACGGCACTGGTAGAAACATTACATGTGATAATTGGTATAGTTTCCGAGCATAATATTTAAAAATTTAAATACCATTACTTTGTGTGAAAATACAATTTATTTAAAATTTGTATTTTTAGAATGTAAACAATAATTAGTACTCTAAATACTGTTTTATTTTTGAGTTGTTGAATTTAAAATAAAATAAAAAAAGAAGTGTGTCCCTGGACCTAGTTCGCTGTGAGGCCCTATCATAAATCACGTCCGGGTACTTTTTCGGGGTGATAGTAACTGCCACTACTGTTTCTGAGGTTCATAAAAACCACCAGAAATATCGGAAACTATATACCAGTTATCATTTGTTTGAAAGCCTTCGTACAAACCATCGCCTGACTGGCGTCGTCACAATACGAAAAACAAAAAGGAAATCCCCCAAACATTTCTAACCGCTAAAAGTCGAACAATCAATTCTACCCTTTTTAGTTTTCAAAAAGACTTTACCATTCTATCGTACGTTCCTAAACAAAATAAAGTTGTGCTAATGATGTCCACTCTTCATCATGTTGATTCAGTTGATAATTCGACAAAAAAATTACCTGAAATGATTTCATTTTATAATCTAGCAAAGGGAGGAGTGGACAAAGTAGATGAATTGTTGGGAACTTATAACTAAGTCACTATTCCCGGCGATGGCCTCTCACATTATTTTTTTCTCTAATGAACACGGCCGGCATCAATTCTTACATTATCCATCGTGAGAACAATAATGGAGTAATATTGAAAAGATCCAAATCCATGGGAGAATCCTATGCAAAAAAGAAGCAATTGATTGGTGGGTCACTCAATCACCAATGCCTTCAGAAGAGGTTGTTAAGACAATAAACATTTTATACAAGGAATGCAGACAAAATGTCAAGGACTATTATTCAGTGGGATGGGAAGAAGCCCAGATTAGATTTGGACCGCCTATGCTTGAAAGAAAATCTGTAAATACTGCATCACCTATAGTTGACATAGCACGACACATCCAAGAAATCGCTCTCAGAGAATACTTATTTCCAGACAATATTATACACGATATTAGGGTCACAAGGGAAATCCAAGAAAAAATGAGAGATGTTATAGATATAACACTAGAAAACGGCAAACACAATTATCGTTACACTCAATTATCGTTGACACGGCAAATTATCGTTAAATAGGCAAATGAGAACACTTCTTAATACTCTTGACCAAAGAAGAAGAGTTCTCCCTATTCTACCAGGATCAAATGAGACCACAGAAAGATTCAAACATGCATTATACCACTCCAATTATGTGCTATGCCATTGGACATTTAGGAGCACTACCATAAAGAAGGATACTGACGCATCTCTGTCATTATTCTTAGAATGTTTAATACACGAAGCTATGCTCTCAATGCTAAGAATAGAAGATACTAAATATCATATATGGTGAGTTGATAAATCTTGAAACTAAAGAAGAAGGGTTTATAAAGTCTCCCAAGCCTGGAATAGCCAGGAAGATAATTGTAAGAAACAAATCTGGAGTCACCATACAGATGAACAGAACTCAAGAAACTGTGAATTTCAAGTATTGTGACAACAGAGGCACTTACACTCAATTTGATGGAAAGTTGATGGCTCTCACTACTAACTTTACAACCATGCGTGATCTCATAGAAATCATCTCAATAGTAGCAAGAGATATAAAGTGGAGAGCCCAAGAAACAGTAAGCAAAAAAGCTAATTTGATCAGAGAAGAAATAAGAACACTTGCAAAAAGAGCCCCTAATGAAGTGATTTCATGCACTAAGGAGACATTCAAAACACTGGTCTCAGGAAACAACACAACATATGGATGTCTTACAATAATAAATGAAACTGAATATTCTCCAGAAGGGAACAGATTTGGCAATAAGTGGATTGGCCGAGGAGGTCCTGTCCCGTTGCCACCTCGTTCACCAGATTTAAATCCGTTAGATTTTTGGTTTTGGGGACATTTAAAACAAATTGTTTATTCTGAAGACGTTCAAAATGTGCAGGATTTGAAAAATAAAATTAGTAATGCATTTTACACAGTAAAACAAATTCCCGGTATCTTTGAACGCATTAGAAGTTCATTTAAAAAACGTATCCGTTTGTGTTTAGAAGTAAATGGTGCGCATATTGAACATATTAACATTCGTTGTTTTTATGCTGATTGAACGATTTTCTTCGACAATCTTTGTTACTTGTTTTGTTAAATTATTAATGAACTGTATTAATTAACTTAATATTATCTTATTATTTATTAAACTTTATCTTAANTCGTTGTTTTTATGCTGGTTGAACGATTTTCTTCGACAATCTTTGTTACTTGTTTTGTTAAATTATTAATGAACTGTATTAATTAACTTAATATTATCTTATTATTTATTAAACTTTATTTTAACCATCGTAACCATGGTAATCATATAATTACTGCATCTAAATCGTTACAATTAATGATGTTAACAATAGGTCAATTTATGAAACTTTGAATATCTCGAAAATGGTCCATTTTCGGACCTATGTTTATTAGACTTTTTTTTGTCTATTTTCGATCAGAGAATACGCTGATGCAGTATTGTACAATCGTTGCGGGACACCTGTATTCAAAAGCGTTTACACACCCTCCAATAACTTTGGAAGATCGGAGAAAATCATGACAAAATGGAAGCCATAAAAATACCCAATCATTCCTATTACACCTCAAACTATTACCTGCAATTACAACAAGTGTACAACCATGCTCTAAGCTACATAAAAGAGTGTCAAAAGCACTACATCCCAAAACCAGGGTGGAAGAACCAACTGAAGATCCAGAACAGATCCGAAGAATAAAAAGGCAGGAAATAAGAATCAAAGAAATGGGTAAACTAATCGACAAAGTAAACCTGGAAATGGTGCAATCAAAACAAAAAAGCACTTATGAATATCTTTGACGTCAACTTCAACAGCAAATGGACAACATCTCAAGATTGGAAGAAGTTATCCAGGTAGAAGAAACAAGATTTCAAGCCCGATACTTCGAAGAAGATGTATATTCCAACCTTCAGACTGATCTTTTTGCTGTAATGGAAAAACTAGAAGACATCATTTCTAACCCACCTTCCTCTGAAACACAACATATCCTTCAGAACAACACTGCTATCCCTCTTCCACAAATAAAACTTCCCGTATTTGATGGATCCTATGACCAATGGATCACCTTCTATGACCTTTTCCAAAAAATAATCCATGCTAGTATATCCCCAACAAAAGTCGAAAAAATGCAATATTTGAAGACGTACCTAAAAAGAGAAGCTAGTCGAATACACCTGCAAATATCCGACAGTAATTATGATGCAGCGTGGACACTTCTACAAAAACGTTACCAAAACAACCGATTAATTCTATCAAAACTACTGGACAAGATTTTGGATCGGCCAACAACTACGACTGAAAACGGGGAAAAGATAAAGGAATTACACGACACAACAGTCGAGTGTCTCAAAGCCATATCGAACCTGGGAATTCCAACGGAATCTTGGGATCCTATCATAGGAAGAATACTTGTCAGAAAATGGGACTATGAGACGAACAAGCAATACGAACTGTCGTTGAAAGAACCACATAAAATACAAGACTTCCAAGATTTATTAAGTTTCCTCAGAACTCGCTTCCAAACACTAGAAGCAATCGCTGAACCAAAAAAGCGAAACAACCCAATGCAAGCAAAAGTAGCTTATAATAAGAATAAGTGCAGATATTGTAAAGAAAACCACATAATACACTTCTGCATGAAATTCAAAAAACTTACAGAATTGTGCAGAAATTGCTTATCTCACGACAAAGGCAACATGTGCAACTCAACGTTAAGATGTCACATCTGCCAAAAGCCACATCATACGTTGCTTCATAGAGATGAGAACAAGCAGATTAACCAAAGCACAATATGTTACAAAAATGTAATCCTAGTTTCTATCAAAAAAGAAAGAAAGAACAGGATTGCTTCAAGCGGACTAGAAAGTGAAGTTCTTCTAGCAACAGCCCTGGTGAAAGTCAAGACAGTTTCCGGCAGTTCCGAAAAACTCCGAATACTTATCCATCCAGGATCCCAAGCCTCCTTCATCACGGAAGAAGCAGCGAATTTACTATAATACGAACTTATGGTATGGTTAAGGCCTCTCTCTCTAAGGGATGGAATATCGAAGTCGAAAGCACTGGACAGGAAATTGAAGTTCCTCTAAAGACACCACTCAACAGGAATGATAAATTATTTTACACTCAGAAACACAATACAAGATAGGTTCTATTACTTTCTAGAAAACCATGTGACTCTTAAAGAAAAAGTTGAGAAAGGAAACTTAAAATGGAACAAGATGAGGAGTTTATTACGATATTTACTTATTTTCCCATGGCAGAAGTAATTGACTTCGAAATTACTAAAGTCAGTACTATACCGCTCAAGATTACTAATGCAACATACTGGATACTAGAAGTTCCAAACGAAATCTTCGCTATTGATTACAACAATCAATTATATTTCCAACTCAGCCACGAAGAATTTCATGCGCTCCCACATTAGTAGACAGCATCGAAAACAATCCCAGTTGTGTTATCAATGAGATTTATAAGCGTCAAGATGAGCCACCATGCGGAATTCAGGAATTCCCAATAAATCTGGAAAGAATTATACATGAAGAATACCTGTATTTTCATAACACCGAAACCATAGAAGGTCGCTATAACATGTTCTGGTACACGAGAAGATGTACTATTAAATTCAACTGGTGTATTCCAGATCTCTCAGGACTGCGTTATAAAAACTAAACAAACTATATTAGCACCCAAGAGAGACAACAGTATTACTGTAAGGTATGACTAAGTGTTAAGTTAAATAAATGTTATTAATATTAAGTAGGTTAGGAGTAATAAGGCTACTTAATAAGGTTAGTACAACAAACATGACAAGGTTTGTTGTGCTACGTTAGCAATAAGTTTACTATAAGAATAGAGTAATTAATTGTAA